ATTTAAATGTGTCATGGCCAACAGGTCATTACATCTAGAATGGACTTGCCAAGGTAGAGCCCATGGATTCCTGTCTCCCTGACTCACCTGGTTCTGATGCATATTTTTTCTCTTATTTTTCCTTTAAACTCAACTTTGCTTTTTTTCTAAGTACAAAAATATGGTAGAAGAATCTAAGAAACATATATTAGTGGGAAAAAAGAAGAAGAAAATAGTGATCTTTTATAATCCCACCATTCTGCAATAACCGCAGTTAACATCTTCCAGACATTTTAATATGTACACTTGTATGCGTAAGCCAGGTGTCAGCAGGGTCTCTCTGCTCCTTGTGATCTAGATAAGAGGCCTTGGTCCTTCATTTCATTGCTTTCCTCGGGATTTTGGCAACTTCCCGGGGTCTCACATTCTAATGATCACCTGTGACTCTAACTTCCTGCTTCTTCTCAATTCCATTCTCCACTCTTTAGCTTACAGCTCTTCCTTTATTTTGCTTTGGCCATAGACCCAAATGTGGAAATAAGGCTCTTTCCTTGACTGGTGAGTAACAACAAATTATCCCAACAAGGGTTTGTTTGATGCGTAGCTGACTTCAAGTTCAGGATGTGAAGGCCATTACACTTGAATATCAGACATCCTTTTCCTTAGGGACCATCGGTCTTTAATTCATGTTACTCAGCCGTGCACTTTCTCCCCTCTTCCCAATCTCTTTTTGCTTTTTCCCTCTCACAAACAGAAATCATATTCTTCACTTTTTTTTTTTTCCCTCTAACAAAACAGTTCAGTTGACTAAAGACCTTTCCCACAAACTTAACTTCAGGAATTCCCTTTCTATACACAACGTCTCCCCCAAAACTTCAACACTGACATTATCAAAGGGGCTGGAGTTATTGGATAAGGGCCGTTCACATCCCCAGATGTGGCATGAAGTTTCCACTGAGATACAGATATGCAACGCATGGCAAAGACAAGAGAGTGAAAATAAGACATTCCACATGGTGGGGATTTCAAAGGGGATGTTAAAAAATGAGTTTCATAGTTCTTAGGCCCCTTCCTCACATCAAGTATATAAAGAGACAAGCATGGAGATCGAGAAAGGTTTTAGAAAGACTTCAATGAATAGAGCAGTTAGGGAGCTATAAGAATCTGCATCCCAATATGGGGCCTGGGATGCTTTCCATTCCACGTCAAGTTCTTGATTAAAAGAGAAAAGCTTCTGGGGCTTCCCTGGTGGCACAGTGGTTGGGAGTCCGCCTGCCGATGCAGGGGACACGGGTTCGTGCCCCGGTCCGGGAAGATCCCACATGCCGCGGAGCGGCTGGGCCCGTGAGCCGTGGCCGCTGAGCCTGTGCGACCGGAGGCTGTGCTCCGCAACGGGAGAGGCCACAACAGTGAGAGGCCCGCGTACCGAAAAAAAATTTAAAAAAAAGAGAAAATCTTCAAGGACCACTCAGAATTGATCTGGTATGTGTTCTCCTCTGTGGGGGAGATACACTAGGCTGATGTCTGGCTTTTGCTTGGAAAACTGAACAGCGGAGCTGGGCACTTGGCTGAGCCTACCCGCCCTCAGAGGAAAGGAAGGTGCATGTTTCTTATGGACCAGATGCGGCCTCATAGTCAGGGAAAGCTGGTCAGACCATCTTTAATGCAGCCCAAGAGGATTTCCTGGGGGCCTTGGGACTTGATAAAGTCTCTGTCTAGTGGGCTGCTGTGAAGAGAGTGGCCAAGTGGTAGGAACACATGACAGAATCAAGAGAAATGCAATTAAGCAAGTCCAGTGGTGGGTCTCAGGAAAGGCCAGCAAAGGGCCAACCAGAGAAGGAGAGCTTCGACCTCCAAACAGGCTCCAGGAGAAGGGCTCCTCTCATTACAGAACCAGTCAAAAGCTTTCCTGTTCCCTCCTCCTGCCCTCCCTGACCAAAACCCTGAACAGTTCAGGAAAATGGGGGGAAAGTGAGGAGACAGAGTGGAGAATGAGTAAGAACCACCAGCCCTTCCAGACTTTTTGCCTGCAGAGGGTCCGAGTTAGATAGAGAAGTTTTATATTAAAACCAGGTGCTAAAAAAAAAAACAAAAACCAGGTGTTAAGATTTGAGAATTACGTGCTAAGAATGGTTAAAACAAAACATGGGGGCTTCCGGGCTTCTCTGGTGGCGCAGTGGTTGAGAGTCCGCCTGCCGATGCAGGGGACATGGGTTCGTTCCCCGGTCCGGGGGGATCCCGCATGCCGCAGAATGGCTGGGCCCGTGAACCATGGCCACTGAGCCTGCGCGTCCGGAGCCTGTGCTCCGCAACGGGAGAGGCCACAACAGTGAGAGGCCCACGTACCGCAAAACAAACAAACAAACAAACAAAAAAACATGGGGCTCCCTAAGTTTCCATCTGGAGAATTCCCCCTACCTAATAAAGTCGGAAGAAGCTGTGGAAGACAAAAATAAAGATGCTAACTGAAGAATTTCCCTGGGTTTCGTGCACTATATTGTAACATGATTTTGAAATTACTAACAATTACAAATAATTGTGAACAAGTATTAACAATTCTTTAACCAACATCATTGACCTTTGGTTATTTTTTTATTTTTCTCTATAAACAACACTGATGTGATTACTTTGTATATCTTTAAGGATCTCTTTAGCACAACTTGCCAGGTTACTGGATCGAGGTTAAGATTCACGATGAAAACTTTAGCAATAAATTGCTGAATCACAACAATTTACGTGTCATCCATGCATGCACCTGTCATAGATACATTGGAACCTTCAAGTTCTGCCGTCTTAAAGTGACCTTGCTCTCCTGACCCTGATCCCTTGTGGGTTGATTTACAATGTGACTCTCAAAGGACTAAACTGTCACCCAGCTTTTGAGCTGGTCTTCCCTTCATTCTTGTTCCTATACTTATGAATGCATTTCAGAGATCCAACCTGTTCATGTATTAGCAGCTGCCTGAACGCTGTTTTTGTAGTTTTCAGGATTACAAGAGAGAACTGAAAACGCACCATCATTTGTATATCTTGGATAGATCCCCTATACTTGGGGTGGGAAAACAAATTCTGCAGATCAAATTTTCCAACCTCATGTTTTCCTTCTGAGAAAGATGTGACTGCTTCTCTTGACCTCACAACCTCAGCTAAAGCTGTAATTAGGGCTGATTCGGTAAACATAGCTTCTGGCTGAGGGGGTGTTATTGGTAACGGTTCTCGTCTTGAACGGTGCAAGGAATAGAACTGCTATGGGTTTTCTGGGGGCTTTGGCTATAGGAAAACAAACACATCTCTTAACAATCTTAAGGAATATTTCAAAACAGGATCTCAACGAGCAGTAATCTCCTCTGTCTATATTTGGCTATGCAGTACCTTCCCATGAAATGTAATTCCGAGCTGGCTGTCACTTGTCATTCTCCCCGTGTGCAATATTCACCAACATGAGAGCCCTATTTTGCCAACTCCCAGCACTTAATTTTCATTCTCATTCGTTTTACCATTTCTCTTAGAGAGAAAATAACACTCAATTGTCAAGGGGATTGAATGGCTTGTAAATAACAAATGTTATCTTACTCCCTGGAACTTATCTCAGGTTATGTTATGGATTTACCAGGTCCCACAGAATATCAAAGACATGAGTCTTAAAGGGGAAAAGTCTCCATACTAGTACATGAAAAAATCCCTAAATTCCAGAAGGGTGAATGAACAGATGGACACTTTTGGGACATGTGTGTGTGTCATTTTTGTTTTACATTTCTTTGGCTCTGCAAGAGAACGCATTTTCTACAAAGTATGGTAGCTGAAGTGAAGGATAATATTAAACTAAACCTGGAAACAAGAAATGAGAAGTAAATAGTTTAGCAAAAGCGTGGTTCCATATGTTAATTTTGAAAAGTTTCGTTATCGAAACACAGGTTTAAAACAACGTGGCCTTGGACTAACACACAAAAGGTAAAAGTGACTGATGCAATGGAGAACACTTTTCTTACCTGGAGGTGTAGATGCCATTCTGACACACTCACATATGTATTTCCAGGTTTTTGTCATTATGAAAATTCAATGTTTTAATAAGCTCCTATAAAAGTAATTATAGGTTGGCGATTTTTTTCCCTGAGCAGTGATTTCTCACACAGAAAATAGAGCACCGAGTGGTTCTAGCAACGTGGGGCACTGAACTATTGCACCTTTCGCCACAACATAAGAGTTCTGGATAAGTTATAACAACACAGTAGTTTCTAAAACATATCAAGGGGAGCAAATAAATATTAAAATGAATCTCTAGTTGCCAGAAATGAAAAGAGAACTCCCAGCCAGCACAGACCTAACGTAGAGGCAGCCTGATGTGGTAGTGAGGTAATAAGATTTAGAAAGGTGTCCTACCATTCATGGGCGCAAATACTGGTGCTCACACCTTGACAGGTAACGTGGACTTTGGCCCCATGAGGCATGGTGCTTGAATTGAGACTGGCATTGAACCCTAGAAGGTTACTGACTCTGTGAAAGACCTTCACAGAAAAACCACCAGGACCAACCTGGCATGCTGCACCTAGCTTGCTCTGCCCAGGGCTCAGGGAAGAACAGAAAAAGAAAGAAATAAGTGTCCAGCCTGCCACATGCACAGTGACAATCAAATGAACACTTGTAGCTAGTGCAGAATCTCAACTCAGAAATTAACGTGAAAGCTTCTCTCACCCAGGTGAAGTGCTTGGGTATCTTAAAAACACAAAACCATTAAGGACTCAGGGCTAAAGGGACTTACAGAGAAAAAAAAGAGATGCCCTCTATTCTTCCCCCTCAGATAGGTTTTTAAAACTGTGCTGTTGTTATAGTTTATCCAAAATTTTTGTATGTTTGTAGTTGAAGGTGAGTCTGCAATAGTTTGGGTCTACATGTTGCTAGAATCAGACAATGAGTTACTTTCTATGTAAGAAATCACCATTCAGGAGAAAACATGCCAATCTGAAAAATGTCAAGATGCACTTGGAAGAAAAACACTGCACATAATACAAATAATTACTCACCACAGGAAAGTCAACAGGGACAGTCAAAAGAGGATGAATGTCTCCCGTCCCTCCAAGAACCAGAAGAAACAGAACAATCTGAAAGAAACCAGAAAACAAGATTATCTAAAATTATTAGATATTTTATTTAAAAGAAATAGAAAACATGATGAAAGACATGACGCTGTGTAAAAGAACAATCTAATTAAACAAAAGAACTAACTGAGCTGCTTTCTACAAAGAGAAAAAGATACAATAAAAAAATTCGAAGGACAGACTAAAGACCACATTAAATATAGTGGAAAAGAGAATCAACAAAAATATAAAATCTGGGCAATTCCTTGTAATGCAGCATCTGGAAATACCTGAAAGGTAAAAGAGAAGTTAAGCAATAAGCAGGATAGATGTAGGCAGTCTAAAATATGTCAAATTAAAATTTCAGAATGGGGGACTTCCCTGGCAGTCCAGTGGTTAAGACTCCGTGCTTCTAATGCAGGGGTTGTGGGTCTGATTCCCATGGTTGGGGAACTAAGATCCCCTATGCTGTGCGACATGGTCAAAAAATTAAAAATAAAAATAAAATACTAGAATGTGGAAAAGTTTTAAAAAATAAAAATAAAATTTCAGAAAGAAAAAATAGAGTGAAGAGAGGCAACATTCAAAAGGATGGCGGAGGATTTCCCAGAATTTGTGAAACACATCAATTCTCAGATGTAGGAATCCCAGTGAATCCTAAGCAGGATAGATTAAAAGAAAATCCTCCCTTAGACACATTGTAGTGGAGCTATGGAACAGCAAAGACAAGGAGAAGGTCTGAAGAATAGCTAGAAAGTAAAAAAGAGGGCTTCCCTTGTGGCGCAGTGGTTGAGAGTCCACCTGCCGATGCAGGGGACGCGGGTTCGTGCCCCGGTCCGGGAAGATCCCACATGCCGCGGAGCGGCTGGGCCCATGAGCCATGGTCGCTGAGCCTGCGCGTCCGGAGCCTGTGCTCCGCAACGGGAGGGGCCGCGGCAGTGACAGGCCCACGTACCGCAAAAAAAAAAAAAAAAAAAAAAAAAAGTAACGGTAAGGGAAATAAATAGAAAACACAAATCATCCCATATATCAGCATTCATAGTAAATATAAAATAAACTTACCAATTGATACAGACTCTCAAACTGAATTTTAATTCAAATACAACTTATGATAGTTATTAATGCTGTTCACTAAATATTTCTTACTCTCCTTCTGAACTCATGGTTTGGATTTCATTTGCCTGCTCCCTAGGAATGAGGGGAAGGTGCTGGTTACGACCTGTAAAGCATACGCTGGAGGGATGTGTGCCACACTGGGGTGGAAACCTTCACATCCAGTGTGTGATGTTATCACTTTCCCCCGTTCTGCTACAACCATGAGCATTGATTAGGAGAGTGACTGCTCTGAACCCCAGGGGAAGGATGAAATGGAATAGAGCTGCCCATGGTGCCTTGTGAGACTTGCAGCTTGAAAGAGAGAGATACATCTTTGTTGTTTTAAGCTGTTGAAATGTTAGAACTGTTTATTACCACGGCATAACATAACCCATCCTCACTGATATATGTGAGAGAAAGATGTAAAATGTAAAGAAATATAATTTGAAAGGAAAGAGATGAGACAAGAGATAGAGGAAAGCACTAATCAAAAGAAAACCAGCATATTAATATTAATGTTAGGTAAAATAGTCTTTAAGACAACAAACAATTATTAAGGGGAAAGAAGAAAAATAGAAAATAAATTCTTATATCAGAATAAAAGGAACAATCTGCCGGGAAGATAATCATCCTGAATCTTTAAAGTTCTAACAGCACAGCCCCAAAACATATGAAGTCAAAATGGACAACAGAATTACAAGGAGAGATGGACAAAGCCACAATAATATGTCGATTATTGCAATCTTATTTCTCTTTGCCAGGCACAGGTGGATGGCTGTCTATTTCACCTGCAACTGAGCAATGGCATGTAAAGAGCAATCCCTACCAGGGCTTCTGGGAAAGGATAGTTTTTTTCCTAATAAAAATCAAGGGATGCCTTTTAAGTCTCCACCCCTCATTTTGTCTTTGAATGGGACTTCATGAGAAAGTGATGGTTGGAAGTAGAACTAGACATTTCCCTTCAGACTTATTATTATATGGCATTTTATAAAACCCCATTTCTTATGTCAGTATTAGTGCAGCCCAAAACATCCTAACAATACAAAGATGAACTTGCCTTATTTGGTATCAGTAACCATGATCAAGTTATGACAATTAAAACAGCAGCGTACTAGTGAAGAAACACACGAGTTGACCAATGAAAGACAACATACACATATGCGAAATTGATATATGACAGAAACGGCATTACAAGTAAGTGGAGACAGAATGTGCGATTGAATAGATAATCCTGAGAAAACTCCATTTGGAAAAAAAAAAGTTAGAAATACTAACTCAGGAATATTACATCCTACCTAATAGAAATATTACCTATTTCTGTAATACAGAAAATTACACTCCAGGAGGATTAAAGACATAAATATGGAGAGTAAATTTTGAAATATTTCAAAGACTATATTGGAGAGATGCTAAGTTTTCTATGTGTACTTTACCACAATTTTTTAAAAAATACATGCTTATGGGCAAATACTTAATAATCCATATAAAATTATGAAGTTAAGTTTAAACAAAAGAACACATTGGAGAGTATCTTTATACACATGAATTAGAGAAGAATTCCCAAAACAAGACACATAAACCACAAATGGTAAAAACAAAGAATGATCCATTTAGTGACATTCAAATTAAAATCCTCTGTATAACACAAGGCAATCCAAAGTGAAAAAGCAAACCACAGACCATGAAAAGATATTTGCTACACTTACAACCAACAAAGAATCGATATTCAGAATATAAAAAACTCCCTCACAGTAGTAAAAGAGAGAAAACAATCCACTTCTTAAAAAAGTGACAAAGGATATAAATAAGTGTTTAGCAGAAGAGAAAACGCTAGTGACCAATAAATATATGGAAATACATATCAATCCCATCAGTGGCAGGGAAATGGAGACTCAGTCAGCAATGAAGTGTCTCTTCACACCCACTGGCCAGACCAAAGAATAATGTCTCATCATAACAAGTGTGGGCGAGGATGTGAGGCTTGGGAACTCTCAGATCTGATGTGGGGAGTAAATGGGAACAGCCTCTGACGGATATCACCAAGCTGCTCCCAACCTGGCGATGTTCAGACTCTACCACTAGATACAGATCCTTGAGAAATATACCTGCTCGCACGAAGACCCAAAGAGCAGGACCCTCACTGCACATTGTTCACAACAACAAAAAATCGGAAGGAAACAGACAGACTCATACATGAGGCATCAATAAATTATCCTTCATATGTACAGGGGCTTCCTAAACAGCAGTTAGAATGAATACTCCTTGATCTACTGTATCAACATAGATCTATTCTACGTTGAGGGAATAACGAAACAACTTGCAAATATATGATTTTGGTAAATTAAACAGAAAAAGAAAATAATACTATACATCTACTTAAGTGTCCAAACATAAAACTTTTTTTTTTTTTTTTTTTGCGGTACGCGGGACTCTCACTGTTGCGGCCTCTCCCGTTGAGGAGCACAGGCTCCGGACGCGCAGGCTCAGCGGCCATGGCTCACGGGCCCAGCCGCTCTGCGGCATGTGGGATCTTCCCGGACCGGGGCACGAACCCATGTCCCCTGCACTGGCAGGCAGACTCTCAACAACTGCGCCACCAAGAAAGCCCAAAACATAAAACTTTTGATAGGAAAGTTATAAAAACTTCAAGACTGTGGTTAATTCTGGGTAAAAGAGAAAGGAGTATATGGAACATTTCAAATATATCTGCAAGATTTCCTTCTTAAAACAAAGATATGGATCTGAAAGAAATAGGTCAGATGCCATCATTTATTCAATCTAAGGTTAAATATACTTGGAGGTCTGTATATTCTATTTGAAATGTAATTCTTTTGCATGTTTAAGAGAATCAACGCATAAAAATTTTAAAATGAAACATTAATAACAAATTATAAAATAAACAAAAAGTTAAATATACAATGAGGTATAAAAAAAGGTGAAAACATTTAATACTATGGTTGTAAGAAAGACATGCATTCTGTTTTAGAATGGAAGGACGAGAAAGGAAGATGTATTAGGTCTCTACCCTGAGTCTACCTATGTGCCCGCAACTTTTGGAAAAGTTCCTTGCCAGGTTATCAAAGACTCAGGTGCAGCTGAGCTCAGGCTCTCTGAACAGGCTTGCATTTGTAAGTCTGGAAGCAGGTGGTAGCGGTGGAGGGGTGGAGCCCAAGAAAGGCAGCAGAGGATGGGGCCCTTGAGTGCTGACCCCTCAGCAGGCCAGGCCACCTCCTACCACATCCAGGCTGGGCCTTCATCTGGGTTTAAAGGTCTCAAGAAGCGAGCAAGCTCCAGTCTCTGTGCGCTGCTTTTGTCAACTTGGCCTGACATACCCGTGTGGCCAGGGCTGGCTTCCTGGGCCCCCTGACCTGCATGGTCACACGCTGTCCCGCACTGAGAAGGGCCCCGTGCTTGGTTTCATGCTCTGCCGTTGCCGTCTCAACAAAGGCCCCTGCATTTTCATTCTGCACTGAGCCCTTCGTATCACGTAGCCGAGGCTGCTCGTGGCACCAACAGAGTGGTGACGCCCTGTGTCTAAAGGCCTTCGTTCCTCTCCTGGTCACCACGGCTACTGACACTCACATGGCATCTCCCGTTTACATTACTTGCCAGGTCTCTGCGGGTCTCTGCACTGGCTGCCTCTATGTTACAGCTTTGATCTTTCAGATCCATCTCTGTAGCACTAAAGAGGGTTTGGAGAAAAGCTGCCCTTCAGCCACGGAGCTCTGGGAAACTTTGGTGTCTAGGGCAGAAGACCGCATTCAGTTGATTCTGACATGCTAATTCTGTCTATCTTCAGTGACACTCACGACAAGAACTTAAAGTAAAAGTCGAAGAAGAGATACAGTTATGGTATTTCAGAAGTGATTATTTGGGGTGTATTTAGGTAAACACGATCTGATTGTATTTACACGGCATTAACATACACACCTAGGCGGAAAGTCTTGTACAGTCCGTATCCACATCAAAGGCACCTTCCTAATGCTGGCTTTCATAGATACTGAGTATCTGATTCTTAGGTTTTATACTTGAAAAGTGTTTTTTTTTTAAAAGATCAATATTATTTCCAGAACCCAGCAGAGGTTCACTTTTGGAAGCTGAAGCAATTCTGGAAAAAGAAGTTCAGGCCTTCCACCTAGGGCCTTGAAGGGCCGGTCCTCTAAAAATCTCCAGGCTTCATCCTTTGCCACTGCCTTGCGTAGACTTCTCGGGGAATTTTAAGGCAAGAATCCCAGGGAAAAGAGGAAAGGATGGCTCTGGGTGCCATGAGTGGAGGAACCAGTTCTAGAAGGAAGACCTCTCCTGGGGCCGGGCTGAGGATGGGCCCGGGGCTTTGGTGCTCCCGGTCTTGGTGGCTCTGTCGTGCTCGTGAGCAGAAAAATGCTTATCCTGCCTTGTGGCTACCTAGGTTTGAAGCTTGCATTATATTGGGGGGAGGGGGAGTTCCCCTTTGCAGACTCATTAATTCCTGGGTACACATAACATTCTGTGGTATAAGAAGCATGCCTGGAATGGAGGGGACAAATATACAGGAAGTTTGTCCGTGCGTTTTGCACACACTGTGCTCTGTGGTTATGAGGGAATCGGGGGCATTCAGGGCAATGGCAACGTCACTCTTGACATGCTGCAGGGCTCCTGGGGAAGATAACGTGGTTGTCTCCCATGGAGACGTCTCGAACTCCCACTGGGAAAACATTAGAAGAAAATAGACATAACAGGGACATATTTGATTTTTTTCATGTCATCTAAAGACCACAGAGAGTCTGCGATATGAAAGACTGACATTCCTCCTTGGTCTGCTTATGCTGCGTAGATACACGTGATCACATGTGGAACGCAAGCATCTGGAACATGTATACGTATCACTGAATCACGTTGCTGTACACCTGAAACTAACATGACATTGTGAATCAACTGTACTCCAACAGAAAATAAAAAGTTTAAAAAAAGGCAGATTGAAAAAACAAAGAGTCTGGAACAGCACAGTTCTCATCACAGTGCTGCCACGCCTTCTGCCCCTTTGCAAGGCACTTCACCTCTCCAAGTCTCACTTTCCACATCTGTGGAAACGGGGGGTGACATTGGGATCTTCATCATAAGGTGTCGGGGATGAGATGAGAACCTGCATGAAAAACGCTTAGCTCTGAATCTGGCACTCGGGAAGCCTTTGGGGGATGATTAGGGCACAGGCTGTCAGGCAGGGGCCTCGCAGGTCTGGACCCTTTCTCCTGCCCCTAAATTCAGTGTGGAGGGTACCTATGTTACAGCAGTAGACCTAGAAGCCAAGAGAAAGGAGGTAAGCTTTAGTTCCTCTGAGGCTGAGAGCCTAGATATGTAGGGAAAACTAGCATGGAACAAAGGAAGCAGGGGAGGTCTAAGAAAGGCCTCAAGAAAAGAAAAGCATTAGGATTTCCTGTTTCTGTTGAACACTAAATAATCCCCGAGAGGACTAAACTCATCACGGGCCATCCCGGGTTACTAATGTGGAAATCAATATGTCTAATCCACTCAGCTCTCCAGCTCTGGAGACAGGCACCCACAGTGTGCTCTGGCTGGGCGCCTCAGGCCTGTCCCTTCACCTCCTGTAAGCCCAGGTCTCCTCACGTATAACATCGTGTTATCACTCGTGCGTCACTTGTGGGCTTATTGAAGTGTTGAATGTTCAGTCCTCAGTAGTGGTAGCCTGTATTCTCCTTAGCTTGTCCCCAGAGAAGCTCTATGCTCAGAGGACACAGCAGCACCACAGTCACACTTTCGGCGCGTCTCTCAGACGATGGATCAAAGGGTTAGCTTTTCTGATTGCTCGCAGCCCGTTTCTGTCAGCCTTTCCTCTTGCCCTCCTCCCCTGGGGTCCCCAGAGACGTGGGAGCCCCCATGAAGACTCCTCAGCCAGCCAGCCAGCCTCCATGCCGTGTGATGACCTGAAAACCCAGTCATCTGAAGACTCTGACGTGAGCATGAGTCACCTCTCTCAAAATGTTACACTTATGAGGACAGTGCTATTTGTTAGCACAGACAATGGGGTCATGTCTCCTTGAAAATTCCTAGTCACATGTTAGAACACCCCCAAGTCAGAGGGGAGAGCTTGCCTCCAGATTCTGCAGGGGACTTATCGACCCTTACTCGACCCTTATCGAGTAAGCAGTGTTAGGCTGCGACTGAGTGAATGGACGTCCATGAAACTGTCCCTTAGCTTGTGAAGCCCCTGCCTCTGCCAGGTCCACCACGAGCATCTGAAGCTGCCTACCTCCTCAGTATCCAGGTGTCTTTTCTTCCTTACTAAAGCTTCCCAATGTTATTCAAGGAGACAATGTTCCAGATTTTTAAAATAAGAGCTACCTTTATCACATTCCCTTGCAACCGAGGCGGCTATTACAGGCAGTTCTCACCAGTGAGAAGCAGAAGATTTCTGGGGATTCAGGGGAAGCTGCGTTTTCCTGACAGAAGTGGCACCTTTCCTCCTTGTGCTTTCCCTTTTCCTCTTTTGGCCTGGAATACAGAGGGAAGGTGAGGATACAACCCCCGTAAGGACGAGGCTGCATTCTAAGGAGGGCAGGTCAGAAAGACAGAAGGAGCCTTGGATTTTAAAAAGGTGGCAGCCCCTACCTGCAGCTGTATCATCGGATGAGGAAGAGAAACTGGTTAAGCCACAGCAGACTGATTTGTGTTCCATGAGGAGCTCAATTTCTAAATGACCCAGGGCTTCATCTCCAGGTTCCTGAAGTGAGTGCGTTTGAATGGGGGAGCGTCTAGTCATTCAATACTCCAGGCCCACTTAATCCCACCACGGTGGGGACATCCTACTAATACATGTTCGGAAGTTGCAGGAAATCAGACCAACATGTACAGACCTTTCCCCCCTCACCCTTCCTGTCGCATCTCCCTTTGCCAGCATTCCTTCCCCCGTTCACTCTTACCAGACTAGCTCCCTCTTTTGGCCTTTGGGCCATGAGGTATGGCCACTTGAACTTCTCCAGTTGGCCTTTTGTGGAGAACTGGATGTGAGAAGCTCACATACATAGCAGGAACTCTATCATCCACACATGTGCGTACATCTCCCAGCTGAGACCAACTCGTAGAGCATTCCTTGTCCTGGAATTGCCAAGTCTGTATGATTTAAAAACTTCTCGTACAGCCCTGGGAGGCCAAATGCTGTATCTTAGCGGCTTTTTCGTGCGTGTGTGTGTGTGTGTGTGTGTGTGTGTGTGTGTATACGCAGAGGAATAACCTGGGAAACAATTAAAATGCTTATTTCGATTTCCCACTCCTGGAAATTGTGATTCAGTGAGTGGAGCCCAGGATTTAAACTGTTGACACGCACCACGTGTTTCAGCTGCAGGCGGCCCCTGGATCAGACTTTAGGGAACTCTGACCCACGGTGGGCCTGTGATGGCTCTGTGTGAATAAGCTGGTCCTCGCCTGAGAACAAGGTTTGAGGAACAGGGAACTGAAATCAAGCCAGGGTGGGGGCACGGCTGGGGGTTGCGAATAAGGAATGTGGGGGAAAAAAATGGGCAGGAGGGAGGGGGAATGAGAATACTAAAATGAAAGGATGAAACTGTCAGAAGACCAAGTGTCCATCCCTGCAGAGGTTTGGACCTGTCATTCCTGTCCTTGTACCTTCCAGGGGCAGGATGTTAGTACCAAATTGTCTGCTTAGCTTAAGGGCTGCAGACTTATCATCATAGGTGTTAAACCAATAGAACACAAGAGACAGAAGCAATTTAATGATACTATTCATTTTGCTTAAAGCATTTACATTAGGCTATATTGACAGGGTCCAGCTTCTCACTCAGAATCAAATCATGTGCATTCAGGAGACTGAGTGTTAAGTGTCTGCGAGGGAGAGGGGGTGTGGCGTCTTGATTCGTGTCATATTTGTGCAGTCGACAGAATTCTTATTTTAGAGAAAGATGAGACAGACTTAGAACAGTTCATTACCTCTGGGCCACAGGCTCTTTTTTCTTGGGTCAAACCAGCAAGAGTTTTAAGCCAAGTGTGAGCTTTGAGAAAACAAGGTTCACAGCGGGGTGCTTGGACCCAGGACCACAACCCGGGCTGGAGCTGGAGGGGCCAGAGAGCTCAGAGCCCCACCAAAGCCGAGCTAATGAGAATTAATTGGGCCTTCCTGGGCACCAAGCGGAGGGTAATTGGGTCCCTGGACGAGCTGACCTCTTTGTTGACTCACCATTTAACGGGAGCTTAAACGCTGCCACATTTGGAGCAGCAGACACATTCTTCTGCGTGTCCCTCGATCCTTCTTCCCTGCTTTTCTTTCTTCCCTCTTCCTTCCGTCTGCCCTTCTTCTGGCCTTTTTGGGGGAGGCAGGGTGGCCAGTCAGTGGACTTGTTCTGCCAGTGGAAGACAAGCGTTACTTGTTGTCTGGCCCTCTCTGTGGGTGCTGGGGGGGCATCCCTTAATGGGGCCCCGGCCACAGCAGTGGAGCTAAGAGACTGAATAGCGCGGCCCTGCCCCTGGTTGGTGGCTGCAGTTTCCCTCTCCCCCGCTCTCAGCTCGGCTTGCCAAGCGCCTACCTCCCTGCTCGTGCCTGGGGGCAGTGGCCCTGCTTCTGCACCTCGGTGGCTTGCTTTTTTTTTTTTGCCACGAGCTGCCTGCTGGGCTAACTCAGTCTTTCCCTTCAGCCAGCAGAGGGCTGAAGTCCCCACCTACACAGGCCGAGGCTGATTTTGCATTTTTTTTTTTTAATTGGGGTATAGTTGCTTTACAATGTTGTGTTAGTTTCTGCTGTACAACGAAGTGAATCAGCTACACGTATACATATCTCCCCTCCCTCTTGCACCTCCCTCCTCCCCCATCCCATCCACAGAGCACCGAGCTGGGAACCCTGCACGATACAGCAGTTTTGCCTGGACCTCTTAAGGCTGCCGTTTTCCTGTTGCTGAGATGACAAAGTTTCTGAAATGATACCTCTGGCTATTGAGTGCAACCAGGTGGCCTCCTGGGATCCAAATAAGAGGAAGAGCAGGTGGATTCAGCTTTGCTCTTTCAGGCTTTAACACGACCATTCATATTGCATCCCGCCTACTCCTACAGCAGGGTACCCCGACCTCTCATCCAGGAACCACTGCCCCCCTCCCTTCTTCTTTTTTTTTTTTAAGATTTTTGTGTGTGTGTGTGTGGACCATTTTTAAAGTCTTTATTGAATTTCTTGCAATATTGCTTGTTTTATGTTTTGGTCTTTTGACCGCAAGTCATGTGGGATCTTAGCTCCCTGACCAGGTATCGAACTCGCACCCCCTGCATTGATTGGAAGGCAAAGTCTTAACCACTGGACCTCCAGGGAAGTCCTCCGCTAGTTTCTTAAATAACATGCAAAATACCACACGTGAGGGTGTGTGCTAGTACCCACAGGGTGACATAGAGAGGCTCCATCGTTTTCATTATACTCTCCAAGTGCTGTATGAGACCCGAAAGTTTAAGACCGCCCCCCCCAATCTGGACTCTCATCTCTGTGCTCTCAAAGGGGGTTCATACTTTATTATGCACACAACAGGTGATTTGGAAGATTTGTAAGATTTGTAAAATACCAATAGATATTTTTTTACTTTAACATCTTACAAAAGAATAAATAACCACTGATCAAAACAGCAATTCTGTGGATTTTTTAAATTTGAAGCTAGATTATTTTTAAAGAGTTGGCATAAATAAATATAGCCCTCAGATAATTATGCAGGTGCCTGCTGGTATATCAAAAAATCGGGAAGAGGGCAGCTTCTTGATGCCTGAGAACTCACTCTAGCCCACTTGGGCTTTTTGCGGCTCCACATGCTACCCTGTTCCTGGCCCTAAGCCTCCCCGCACAGGACTGCCCTGCCTGCGGTCCCAGCCCCAAGGGGTCCACACAACACCGACTCACCACTGACACTCAGATCCGGCCACTTCCTCTCTGAATCGTTTCTGACCTTCAGGAAGGGCAACCTTTTGCTCTCGGTGCCCCTGGGTGCCAACGCCGTCTTCCCGCACGCCGCCTACCACAGAGAAGTGGACATCTTTGTGGTACATGTTTGCTCTGAGGCTGAAAGCTCCTCCAGGGAGGAATCAGGTCTCCTTCACGTGGGGATCTTTGCTGACTTGCCTGATGTCAGGCTCATTATAGAGGCTCGAAGAAATACATGTCTGTGGAATGAATGAACGAATGAATGAATGAGTGCGTGGATGAACAAGTGATGAACAGCTCATGTCCACCTCATCAGGAGGGTAATCACATGAAAGCCCCTTTCTGGAAAGTTTTTGTAAATATCAAACCTTTTGTGACAATTTATGTTAGCGATCTCTCTACATCAGGAAAAAAGTAATATTTAAGAGCATGCTGTTATGAGACAGACAGACCTGGGTTCTAAATCTGGTTCTGACAAACCAGTTTGCTGATATGAGGCAAGTTTCTTAACAAACCCTCAGTTTCCTCATTTGTAAACTGGAGGTAACATCCACAACAATTCATACTGGGAAAATTTAAATAGCCCATATATATAAAGCTATTAACACAGTACTGGGCACACAGAATGTGTTTGAAAAAATTATCCACTTAAATCGTTTTTCTTAGCATGCACATTCCTGCCTTCATCCACGGAATGGCTGCCGTCATCCCGTGTAAGCTCTTGGCAGCATTTATGGCACTGGCTGGCGCTGTTCGTTCCTGAAGACTCTCCTCTGTCTTGGTTTCCATGGCTTTGCCTCTCTTTTTACTGCTTCAGCCACTCCCCCGTTTTCTCTGTCCGTCTTCGGGCCCTTCCTGTGGCCCCGGGGTTCTATCTACAGCTGCTTTTCTCACCACATGCCTGCCCAGGACAATCTCACTCACTCTCACACATACCCCAGCTGTCACCAACCTGCCCATGCTCCCAAATCTCGCCCCCAGCTCTCTTCCAATCCCAGGTCCTTATTTCTAGCTAATCTATTCCCACGTGTACCTCGAGCTTGACATATTCAGAGCAGAATTCATTCCTTTCACCTCTGACCAAAGCCTGTTGGCCTCCATCTAGATCTAACTCCCAGACTGTGACTTAGATGCCTGTGCAAACCGTGCTTTACGGTTTTGTAACCCTGGACACGTAACTGTCTCTCGTTGCCTCAGTTTCCTCACTCATAACGTGGAAAGACTAATTCTGTAAGACCTGAAACCCACCTGTTGTGTGTGGATGAACAGAGGTAAAGTATGTAAAATTGGAGGCACAAAGGAAGCCCCTTCACTTGGGAATGACTTCTTCCCCTTGCCAGCCAAGGGCATTCATCTTTATCCTTTTTCTCCAGTCTGTCCTGAATCCCTGAAGCAGACTCATTTTTCCCCACAGAGACACCCCCTTCCTTGAAGCATGGATTCCGTACCTCCACAGATCTCCCTTTGCAGGCTGCCTTCCCCTCTACATCGTGAGCTCCTGAATTCACACTGAATCTCTGAATTTTCACATCAGGAGTTCAACGAACCGGACACACTTAGGCATACGACAAACGTTAGGTGAATTGCATTGGGTAGAATGCAGCTTTTTAAAAATGACAAAATAGGGGAAAGGGAGGTGGTGAGATGAATTGAGAGATTGGGATTGACATATATACACTATTGATACTATGTATAAAATAGATAAGTAATGAGAACAGACTGTATAGCACAGGGGACTCTACGTAATCCTCGGTGCTGACCTAAATGGGAAGGAAATCCAAAGGTGAGGGGATATATGTATACATATAGCAGATTCCCTTTGCAGCACAGCAGAAACTAACACAACATTGTAAAGCAACTAGACTCCAATAAAAATTAAAAAATGACAAAATACACATTTTCAATAAGATTCTAGAAAGAAGACAATACAGTCCATGTTCTTAGATCTTTTTTTTTGCTTCAAAGTGCTGAATTCCAAAAAATTGAGTTTGCTGACAGGGGAACAGTACAAATTTCTTAATCAACCTGGGGAAGTTCACTAATCAAGAGGGCTATTTCAACTGCAATCCCAGGAAGCTTTCTGGAGTTGGCTTCGGTGTTCTTGGCAAATCTCTAGGCAGGCCCTCCCATCCAATGCGGAATTGGTGGAAATGCCTTTGTTATTATCCGTTCACTGCCGTGTGTGCACTTTTTTTTTTTTTGGAAAGATAGGTTGGAGGCTCCCTCCAACTTTTCTTGAGAAAAGCTGAAAAGATGGAAACTTCTTAAGTAATTGATTTAGCTTCCCTGAAGCTCCTGGTTCTTGGCAGGTCAGATATTGGAAACTGCAATAAGATTCCTTTTTCTGTTGTGTTTTCAACATTTGGTTCTTAATCCATATAAAAGTGCAGTTGCTATGAAGGAATGTTGTCGGGTCACTCAGAACACAGGAAAGGAAAAGAATTATCTTATAATCCATACACACCCTGCAAGGGGGGCAAACGGTTCTTCTTATCCTTGTATTTCTCTTCCCAAGAAATCCTGAACTGGGGGGGAGAGAGGGAAGGGTTGGGAGAAGACCTTGAGAATTATACAGCCCAGGTCACCAGGATGCCAGCCCGTTGCTAGGACAGGAGGAAAGGGAGGTGGAGGTGAGGGAAGAATAAGGGACAAGCAACACGCAGAAGGCATCGGGGGGAAGTCCCCAGGAGTCCCTCTTCCCTCCCTTCGTCCCCTTCTGTGGTTCCTGGGTGAGAGCAAAGGGTTGCTGCAGGGCTGTTTGCGGGTGTTGAGGGACTCCTGGAGACTTCCCCCGATGCCTTCTCCTCCACCATGCTGCAGACAGTAAACTGAGGCCCTGAGAAGTTAACCCTCAAAAATAGCACCTTGGCCAAAAGCCCAGGTGAGGCTTCTTGTCTCTGACCCCTCAGGGTACGCCCCTCACACCTATTCTTACGTGGGACACGAATGACACTGCTCTGAATAGACCAAGCAGGCATATTTTACTCAGTAGTTGTGGACTCACCCCTTCTGTGCTCAATAAGGGTTTCAGAAAGAAGAGGGAGAGGAGTCACCTCTCTCAACAGACCTGTGCAGTGTGACTGTGCTTTAATAAACCCAGACTGAACTCCCCCAAAGCTGGGTCTATCCACAGAAGGAGAACAGGTTAATCAAAGGAGGCCAGATCTCTGCCGGTCAGACCCGACCTCATAGTTTCCATAAAAGAGAGCATATGGGTCTCCTCTCTCTCCTCTTCAGTTTCATCGTCAGCAAATTGAAGATGGTAGCATTTATCGTGCAGTGCAGTTATCAGAATTAAACGACCTAGGACACAGGACCCGTGTGAGGTAGAGCAGGGAAATACAAACTGCTCTTTAAAGCATAATCATTAAGTCCTTTTAAATATGTTTTATTGTTTTACTTTACCTCTATTATTTTGCTCACTTCTTTGTTGGCAGCTCTTTCTCTACCGGAGACCCCTGTTCTTTTCTTTTTCACTTTTTGTTTTATATTGGGGTATAGCCGATTAACAATGCTGTGATAGTTTCAGGTGCACAGCAAAGCGCTTCAGCCAAACATATGCATGTATCCATTCTCCCCGGACTCCCCTCCCATCCAGGCTGCCACATACATTGAGCAGAGTCAGAGATCCCTGTTCTAATTCCAAGTCCCCCATGCCTCTCTGGCTTATCCAAGTGAAGGTATCCTGAGGCCACCTGTCAATCAAGTGTTTGCCATCGACAGCCAATTTTTCAGCATCCCCTGGGTGAGCGACACCCAGGGAACAGGTGCTTGTGAGACCAGGCTCAAGACAGGAAAAAGGGAGACTCGTGTGTGTGTGTGTGTGTGTGTGTGTGTGTGTG